GCTTCTTTATAAGTCGATGGTCCTTCGCACAATGGGAGGTTATATTTTACGGCACCTCCCCTTTCGTATACGCAAATCCTTTACTTTATAGGTCACATTTGTTTTGAATTCGGGGTCTAATTTGCCTAAATCGGTCAATTATACCCAGATAGGCAGACGGTGCCCCACAGTAATTTTGGGTCTTTAAAGGCGGCCAGATCGATGTCTACCAAGCTTCTCATTAATAATTAGAACAGTAATGGAATGTTTTGCCTCTCAAATAAAATATAAAATAAACTGAAATTATGCAACAAGTTTCATAAACGCCACGTTAGTCACTAGTTTTCCGCATTTGTTTTGAAACACCCTGTATGTTATTTTAAATAATACTCCTTTAATAATACCAATCCGGATGTGAAGTGAATATTTTTATAGAGGGTGCATCAATTTATTGCAGTACAATAATAATAATAATCATAACAAAAATAATCGTAATTATAATACTTTATTTGCTGTAAATATTTACATAATCAGCATCTATATCTAATAATCTATTTTACAAGCAAAAAAGAGGCCGAAATTCAATTTAAAGAAGATTCTTGTTCAGCCTCCAAGGTAAACTATATATAATGTCTATTAGTGTTCACAATGGCAATTACCGTAAAGTTCTAAATCCTCTACAAAAAGGAAAAGGCAAAAAGACAGAAAAAGAGTCACTCGTACGATGTCCACTTAAAAAAAACTGTATAAAAAACTTCAAATAATATGAACTTCATGTTTTCAAATTTTGTGGAATATTTTTAAACATAACATAAATATTCTACCAGCGAAATTTTAAGTTAAGGGTGTGCACATCTGTACGATACCGAATAATTTCTCGTCAGACAACCGTTTCGCTTTCTGAACGGGCTGTGCTCTGTGGCTATCTATACTAAGGAGGCAGGGGCTAAGAACAAGTGAATCCGTCAGTCCGATCTTGTCACTTCTAGTCACTTTAAGAATCGAATATGCCATTTGGACACATTTGTTGATGTGAGCTTTAAATCTTAATTCAGAATTAAAAATTAGCCCAAAATTCCTGCTCTAATTGGAATATGGAAAAATGAAATTTTGTGTGCCACCTACATATAGATGCACTTTGCAGTGTTTAATGCCGCTATATTATTACATGTGTAAATTGAACATAATAACGGGTATTAGTAGTACCAAATTTAAAAAATATATATATTAGCGTTAGTTACCCTTTCCTTTCAACTTTAAGACGGTTACCCATATCTACGCTAATAGTTAAATAAAAAGATACTTAAAAAGTTTTCAACATTGTTATGGCTATTAAATTTTTTTAAAAAATTGCTTGGTTTGAGTTTAGTGTCTGTAATGTAAGGATCCGCAAATTGAAAATATACATTGATGATTATGTGAACGGAGTATCTCGATCTGTTATATGAACTATTTTTTGCACCAACACATATTTTTTATAATAGTCTATGAACCGCTAAGAGGGGTCGTCATAAAAAAACGTCAATGGAAGTTTTTTCACTAAAAAACAATTAATCGGCATTTTAAAAGATTAAAAACAGGGGTTAAGGGCATTGAAAAATGAACACGAAAACAATGCGGTGCCGGGTCCTAAATCTTGTGGTCAAGTCAATATTTGTTTACTACGGGCAAGTGATTTTAAAATGCTTATGTTTAATTTCGATTCGGATATCCATCGAAGTGTCGGACTCGCGGTTTTCGGCTGCTGGTTCCACCGTCTGGGTTACGTGGGAAAGAATGAGCACTTTAACGACCCCTGGACCATGACCCACACACACCTGGTTCCTTCGGGACATCGTTTTTACGTAGATCGTTGTCGTTTGTTTGGGCATCGCCGACTAAATCGATTAGTTTTTTTTGTTCAGGTTTACTTGCAGTTTCTAATGATAAACCTACCAAGTTCGAACTGCAGCCTAAAATGGAGCCCCAACTTTAGCCAAAACCAAACAAAAATTATTGTATCTTTAGTATTTCAACAGGTTTTGTCCATGCGAACTAATGTTGGATTTATTATTTTCTATTGACCCGAAATACCTTTGAATGCACCAAAAATTTGCTCCCTGTAACTGAATTTGACAAAAGCAGCAAATAACAATTAAAAAATTAAAATAACGAAAAATAAACGAATTTGAACCGCCATTTGTGAAAAAAAGTTTGGAAATGGTCCGCCGACGTCTAAAATTTAATATTAATATTGTTACACTTGCTCTATTTCAACCAATGACTATCAATGAATTACCTAATAGCTAATATTTTCTTTATTAATAACAATAAACACCAAATTCAAAGAATACTAGTTCGACAGAAAACAACTAAAAGTAGATTGTCTTCCAAATAGAACCTGATTTGATACAAAAAAACGCATAATATTTTACGGGGCTTGAGCGCAACACTGGTAACATCCGGTTTCATTTTTGGTGATATTTTACAAAGCATGAAGTATGTAAATGCACATTACACTTATTACAAACGTAAATTGTGTGGTTGTGGCATGTTCTACATCTCCTTCGGGCTTTATTAGCATGAACAATCATGAGGTGACCTTGATTATCATAACGCACTTCGTCTATAGCAGGTGCAAGATTTCTTTGAGTAATTGTTTTATCAGTTTTTAAAAGTCGCAAAGCAATGTAAGATTTAAAATTAAATCAATATAAACAATATTTCAAGCGGAGTTTTTGCAGAAAGCCTATGTGTGTGAGTGTACTCAATCTGACATTTCTTAAATTCGGGAGTAGAAACAAGCCTGTCGTTTGCAGAAAGCATACGTGTTCTTTTGAATTCCAGGATTTCATCATCTGATGAGTCCCATTCAGGTTCAGTAGTTGATGAATTACAGGACTGTTGAAGAACAGTTGTATCAGTCGGTCTATGTAACTCGAAAGTTCCAACTGTATCATTTGGTTCCCCAAACTCTTGCAGATTTATGTTATCTTTCATATCTTCGTCGTCAGTCAAGGTATCCACGTCGGGTGGAATATAGACCACTTTAATGTGTTCTGTAAATATTTTTTCACGTTATTTTTAGCAGAAATTTAACTAAAGAACAAGCTAATTGTTGGATGTTTATTCTACATGCGCTGACTTCTTTACACTTCCAATAACAAAGTTTTGTTTCACAGATAAAACCATTGGTGCATTCACGCACCAGTAAATATTTTCAAAAAATAAACCATAATCAATATATATTTTCTGGATGTAATCTACATGCTATAGACTTAACAAAAATGGCAATAAAAATCCAAAATATTTTTTTTTACTATTTTGGATTTACTTGAAAATGTGATACAGATTTATGTACCGCTTTTGTTAACTTTTGAAGTCATATATAAGATCTTTCCTTTACACATAAATTATGCTATTAATTATATAATATATTTCCCGGATGTGACAAAAAAAATAATAAAATAAGTGGTGCATTAACGCACCACTGGGACAAAATGGGTTTAAGCAACTATCATAGTCACAGCGTTTAGGGTTGAATTAAGTTTTGCTCGCAGACAAGTTTTAATATCTGAGATTTAGGTGAACTACTAACCAAAACTAGTAGATGGCCAACCTTTTTTAGTGGGTAAGAATCTGCCTGGATATTTTCTCACTCTCCTGTATAAATGTTGAAATTCTCCAAATTTAGATGTATCTTTACTTATAACTATGATATAGGACTAAGTTCGCAAATAGGAACTACCTTAGAAGGTAATCTCTATGCAACCAAGAGTAAAATAAAGGTTTTTCTTGTCATAAATGCTATTTTAGGAATTTTTGTCTCGCCCCAGTCTCATTTAGGTTTAAGTTAATTTGTATTTGTTTATTTATTGTGATATTTTCTAGACGTTTGGGTCGGTACACAAATAAATATTCTATTCCACTTCATTCCTAAGAACACTATTCGCACTCTATCACTCTGATCACTTCAACGCGAAGTGCATAAAACGTAAACGCGACGCATTTTGATGCAAACGCAATTGCTACAGACAATTAATTTTGTCAAACGCTATTATATATTTCAAAGGTGTCTATGGAAGCGCATCAGGCCAGCAAAAATATGTTACACGACAAATATCAAAATATGTATTCGTGTGGCCAACATGGACGGCATTTTACTTGTGTTTTGGTTTTGTTATAATTTATTATTGAACATGTCCAGACATCGCGAGTATTTGCGGTTATGCAATGGAGGTATGTCGAGGCACATTAATTTTTTCAATAAAATTGTCGTTTTTGCATTTATGAACGTGCTTCTGTTTTTATTATTATGCCACAACATAAAACTAAAATATGAAAAATTCGGACATTACAGTATTACAGACGAACCTCTTTTTTAAATTACTAAAATTATTTCGGGGTTTATCGCTTACTTATGTCCACATTCGAATTGAAAAATATAGCCCTTCGTCAGCGGTTAGTTACGATAATAACACGTCCATGTTAAAAAATCGCTGTGTCAGAATTCCAATATAGTTATTACATACTGCGGATACGCTCGTATATTCCACATCAAATATTTGCCTAGCTTTATTAAAGATTCTGTTTGCCGTGAATCAATGGACATACCGAATTGACGGGGATACATTTTTAATGTCCCTAATTCCGAAGTGGCTATAGTTTATGCCCATATCTGTACACTACAAGTCGATAATTACACATTACACGGCCCGTTTCTTGCATTATTCAATACTTAATCGAAAAACTTGCTCCTCGCGATTGAAAAAAAAATAGTTTTGACCAAGTAAAATTTGTTTCCTGTTGGTTTTGGTTAGTTGGGTGCTGCTTTTATTTTTATTCCTACGGGGAGCAAAATTTAGGTTTTCTTATACTGTTACTTAAAATATTTTCCATTGGTGAGAGATATAAACAATTTGACAGAACAGCAGTGTGTTAATGGATTGTTAACCAAGCTTTGCGGTGTCAATTTCTTATTTGAAACTGAGCAGTTATTTTGATAACGAATCCGGCCGCTTTTGTCTTGACGTTTGTTGCAGGATTATCGAGTTTAACGAGAGTTTGTCAAATGCAGGGACATGCAAACAATGCATCTAGCTGATTGGCGCCAAATGGGCCTTCGGATGGAACTTCGACAGATCGCTGATGATCTCCGCAGTACCCTGGTGAGTCATTTTGTATTATGCATGTAGAGATTGTCCCTTTGCTTCAAGCACAATCGCGACCTTCTATGGAGTCGCGTTGTCTGTGTAACAACATCAGGGTTAAGACCACAATATCCGTCAAAAATATTGTTTGAGATAATTCAGGTACAATTGACAATATCGCCGTTTAATTTTTCATTTCACGTTTCTGATTGTCTCAAACTATTACCACCCGTGTTTTAAATCAAATAGAGACGTAGATTTTTTCCCCCGCCATATCACTTTTTCTATTATTTCCATTATAGTCGATCCAAAACAGCTATTTGACATTTGTATAGGTTCGACTACGAGTTTTATAATTGTATTGCTCTATTTATGTTTCAAAAAAAGAACAGAAAAAAGGACGAGAACAAAAGCACTACATGTACCAAGTTCTTTATAAATTAACCGGCATCAAATCTTACTGAATTAAACAATTAATTAAAAAAAACTCTTTGGATTAAGTATGTTTCTAGGAAAAGTAGCAGAATTATAGGAAATAGTAAAAATAACATTAATGGGAATGCATTGCTAAAAAAAGTGTATTGATTGATATTGGGCAATTTGAAAGTGGTACCTTTATTGATTTTCCGATTGGTAGAATTATTTTGTCCACAAACAAATAATATTAAAAAATCTAAAGTTCTGTTTACTTGTCTGTGCCACTAGCTTAGATTATTGTTCTGATGGCTATATACAAGAAAGTTAGGAGACTACTGCTTAAATTGAAATCTTCGAAGTTTTCGTGAGTAACTGTTCGGTAATATTGTATTACAGTCGAACTTCGGTAAGTCCAACTGCGATTTGATACATGAAAATTTCGAGTTATCAAGACTGCGAGTTATCGAGAAAAATTACAAATGCATATACTTTTTTGTGAATGAACATTTATTCATTCATTTTTAAAAATGGGTTATACGTTACATAAATGCCCTAATATCTATGATTTTTGAACAAAAAACGAAAATTATGAAATAGTAGTACATATGTATGTATGTATTTACATACAAATGTATTGTATATGTACCCAGTATATATAAACATAGTATGTATGCACATACATGTTAAAGTTTACTCTTTCACTGGAAAAAAGTCAGTTATTTGTGACTGACGACCAGATTTCTTATTTTGGTTTTCAACAAAAGCTTCAATTTTATTTAAACAGTCATAGGGGGAATCGGTTGTGTATTCACTGGTTTTCAAATAGGAACGCAAGACAATCGACGAATTTTCAACCAATTCATTTGAAGGTGGTTACTGAGAATCATCTTCCAATTCCTCCTCCATCATGTCACTTTCGTAGTCATCGTCGATGTTTAACTGTACCGGTCCGGATCTGCAGGACTCCATCATATCTTCATCAGTAGGAAACTCTGAAGTAACAATGGTTTCAGGCTTAACGTCGATATTCCATGCGGCAGTTACGTCGTCAACACAATCCATTAGTGTAATGTTATTGTTTTTGTTTTCTTCGAAACGTTCCATTGCGGTGATGACTGAATGTTTATTTTTCAAAATTGTAGACACTGTATTTGCTGAAATCCCATACTTCACAGCTATATCTTTATTTTTTGAGCCACTTTCCACTTCTTTTATAACCTTGAGTTTTTGATCAACAGACAAAGCTTTTAAAGTACGTTTTGATGACATATCAACAAATGCAAAAACCCAAAAATGTCTTTAATATAATGTGTAAATTGAATAGGGACAGTATTTTTCACTTAGTATTAACTAATGATTCATACAAGTGAACTTAGCAAGCACAGAAACTGTACTGCTTGCATAGATACGTTAAAAAGACAGATTAAGATCGGTCGTAATTAGAGGGTTCCCCGAGAAAATTCGACTTATAGAAGTTGGCACCAAATGTTTCGTTCGAGTTATCAAGATATTCGAGTAATCAAGACAAACTAACACGCATTTCCTACTTTTGAAGCTATTGCCAACCAATTTGGTTCGACTTATCAAAAATTCGAGTTATCGAAGTTCGACTGTATATTGTAATTATTAACGGCCGTTTTAAAGGTATAGTAGGCCGCATGCGATGTCCGTCACGACGATGACCGCACAATCTCCATTTGCATCTGTAATAGGCTAACTCCCCGCTCAATTAAGCTTAAGTTCTCAACGTTAGCCGTTGTCCACCTTAAATCCGAATAAATAGCCCATCTGGGAATAAAAGCAGGTCAGGGCGGGGGCCGAAGCGAAATCGCCGAAAAGGCTATTCTCTTTAAACAATAACCCTATCGCGATGAATGGAGGTGTTGATTAGAAGATTTAATTACATTAAGGCCCGGCCATTATCGGACGCCCCTGTCGTCGCGACTGATTGCCTACAGGATTTGCAAGCGCGATCTAAATAATGTCGCCCTTTGATTATTTTAACGTTTTACTGGATATTTGTTTTGTGAAATATCGTCAGAGTTTGTTAAAAATCGAGTCATTTTACTTTAAACACTTGTTGATATCTTTATGTTTTGTTAATATTCGAAATGGCGGGGGACGATAATTAAAACACTATATCTGAGAAAAATGTATTATATGGGTGTTTAGTAATAAATATGAAAAAAGGGGTAACAGTCCAATAATTATTATTGAACAGTGTAGCATAGAAATTATTTATTCTTCTGTAACTACATATAACGGATTTATATTATTTCACAGACTTACAGGCTGACAATAAATATGCAAATCCAATATAAAAAATAAAATAATAATAATAATAATAATAATAATAATAATAATAATAATAATAATAATAATAATAATAATAATAATAATACACAACCTTTAGTCGTCCAGACAAAATACATTAAAATATTATTAGCAAACAACCGATATATGATCCTGATTATACAGGGTGTTTTCTAATTGAATGTTAATCTTATGTGGGCGATTTTTGAGATAGGTAAAGTTTTCAAAAATAAAATGTATTTCTTTAATATCTGTTAGATATTTTAATGAAATTTGGCACCCATGTACTATGTATCAACAGACATATATATTTTTTAAATACACCACTCGAGGGCATACGGAATTTTACCTGCCTATTTTAGCAGACATTAATGGTACGCCACTGATTTCTCTTGAAATAAAAATTATTCATGCGATCTCCAATAATTTCTAAATAAATTTAATTTTTTGATTTTTTTTCAATCCGATGAACGGTTTTCGCTAGAAAAAATAAAAACCTCTTCTCTGCATGGTCATAACAATATCGTTAATATGAGACAGCATGCAGAGAAATTAGCTTTAATTTTTATGTGAAAACCATGCGACGATCAAAAGAAATTAAGAGATCAAATTTGCTCATAAATGAATGTAAATGTCATAACTTTTTTCATCAGTTTTTTGCAATTAAAAATTCGTTTTAATTAATCAACAAAATTAAATATATCAAAATCCCTTCTAACGCAACACGCAATCCCTTCACACACGGACACAGTCATACATAACAGCTCAAATCACCCTTATACACACAAAATGGCTGCATTTCACTCTTTCATATACAGACTTCTTAATACGCCACTCTCAACAGAAAATTACAACCAAGAACTTAATATCATTAAACAAATTTCACTGAACAACGGCTACAATCCGTCCATTATAGATATAATTATAAATAAAACACAAATCCAGACAACAGTAAACTCTATTTATCCAAAACCTAATACAGAACACGAACAATTTAAAACAATTACATACATAGGAGAATCTAGTGAAAAAGTTTCAAAACATTTGTCAAAATATGGTTTAAAAATAGCTTTCAGAACTAACAACACATTAGGAAAATATTTAAAAAACAATAAAACGAAATGTCTAAAATCCCAAAAATCAGGTGTCTACAGGTTGAAATGCGGATCTTGTCCTAAAATTTATATTGGACAAACAGGTGGATCCTTCAAGAAACGCGTTAACGAACATAAAAGAGCGTTTAAAAACAATAGTCTAGATTCTGATTATGATGTACACTTAAACACAGAAAAACATATTCTTGACGACAATTTTGAAATTTTACATACAGCCACAAAAAGTAGAAAATTAAATTTATTGGAAGTCATGGAGATTAACAAAATGAGACATTCAAATGTTAATTAGATTTAAATACTGAAAATAAATTCTCACAACAAAATTAATTAAGTTTTTATGGTCATTTTTCGGTATATATAGTAGCAGGTGGTTTGTAAATATTACATTTGATAAAGACACGGTGTTGTCGAAACACTTGTCATGTAAGAATATATAATTTCGTGAAAATCTGAACTTTTAGTTCTTATTTATTGTGCCTATTTTATTATTACTTTGATTGACGGGTACCACACGAACTTCTTTTATTTGATTTCAAATCTTTATTGTAAAACTTTCGTTGGGAAGCATTTCTCTGTTTTTTCTTTGCCGATTGATTTTTCAGACGCTTAGTTTAAAGAAGCGTTTAATCAATCCTTAATCATATTGTAAATAAAAAACAAACAAATGAAAATCTCTCTATGGAGATGAGCTTAGGCCCTGTTTTACATTGCATGAGTCACACCGTTTTTGTTGGTACAAACCAAACATTTGCCTAGAGGTGTCACCGGATCAAAGCTCGGTACCGCCAACCAACGGTATCGCGATGACTCATTGTCTCTCCGTATTTATTAAACCGCATTCGTTTAATTTGTTTAACAGCATTAACGAAGCATAAACCCATTTAATTTTATTATTGGTCGGCAATTTTTTATTTTAATGACAGTTCGCATGCATTAAAGCCTTATTGTAGTAAATTACGTTTAATGTTACTTGTTCCTCGTGGTGTAACATACGTTAATAAGGTACGGTCGGTTATACCTGATAAAGACCCCTCTTAGCGCACAGGGGACATTCCGAAACATTAAGTAATGACCCTTTTTCTGGGGCGCTTTTGTTGTTTTTGAAATATTGTACTCGATATTACCGAAAAATATTTCGGACCAAACTGACTCGTATATGCACAACAGATTCTT